TTTTTATCTTCCATTTCTTTTTTACACAGCAACCAATTTTGGTGCTAGTTGTAGTAGTTATGCCATTAACAAGTGAAAGTTACAGTAATATAAAATGGGTTTTGATTTAATTCTGCAATTCCATATATAATTTTTCTGTTAGGTTTTTAATGTAAGGGGTTGCTGCTTATAACCAAAGTTGAGTCTTTGTTTGGAGCATTTCCTGCAAACAACATCTATAAATGGGTGCATCTGTCTTTTAATACTATTTTGATGTTTGCTTTCACCTATTAACGTGATTCATTCATGAAAAAAGAGAACTTTGATTCATTTAATTTTGACTGACTACTATTATTAATACAGCAATGCTCTAACAGTAAATTTATTTCCCTTTGTATCTTTGATGCTTCTGCATTTGATTGCAATTCTGCTCTATGTAGGTGCCCTCTAAAACCAACATGTCAGGGAGATGAAAAACACATAGATGGTGATGGCGAAGAAAATTCTGATGACAAACAAGTCAGTAATGGCACCAATGCTCTTACAGTAATTCGTTTCCCTTTTTATCTTTCTATGTTTGATGCTTCTGCTCCTTTTTATGTGCATAACTATGCTGACAAAGCGTTTGTCTGGTGGAAAGGATTTGAGTAGTATGATTTTTAATAATATCACAATTTTGAGGATTATTGATCTATCAAGTAACAAATTATAAGGGGAAATTCCACAGCAGATATGGAGTCTCTTTTAATTGCTTCATCTGAATTTATCGAGGAACCATTTGACTGAAGGATTGCACTAGATATTGAACAACTGAGACAATGTCAGTCACTTGATTTGTTATATGGCAGGTGTCTTGGACCTGCCATGTAACAATTTTTAATGCTTCTGCATTTGCTGGTAATTCTGCGCGTTGTGGACATCCTCTTAACACCGACATGCTCTGATGACAAAAAACAATCAAGATGAAGAAGATGAATTCTGGAGAGGTTTTAAACCAAGCATGGAACTTGGATTGGCTTTTGGCTTTGTGGGAGTTCTAGCTTTCAAGTTAGACA